TTCAAGCCCTAGCACGTTTCTCTTGGGCTTGTCCCCAACAGGCCCAGTTATGTCCCCTTCCCCCTTCATATCTAGTTTAAAGCCCTGTCAATGAGCCCTGCTAAGTCCTGCCCCAAAAACCTTTTCCCCCTCTGGGACTGGTGTATCCCACCTGCCACCAGCAAACCAGGTGTCTCATATAGCAGCATATGACTGAAAAACCCAAAACCCTGCCTTTGGCACCTCTGGCAGAACCCAACCTGCTCTACGTTTCTTGGAATCCTTCAAAATTAGGCCCCAATACACCATGAAGGTGATAGAGTGGATGGACTGCCACCCAACTCATGCAGTGTCCTGGTGTTATATCTCAACAGATAGCTCTGTTTCCCCAAGACAAAGGAAATGTTTTTCCCTCACACCATTTTGCCTGTGTTAAGACAAAGTGTAACTTGAAGGGTTTTGACAGTATTATGGATAATGCTGGGGTCCTGTGGAAAGGAAGTTTACTAATTGCTGCATACTTGAAAGCACAGTTACAATCATTGTTACAATAAATAACCAGCAAGCTATTAACTCTCAAGGTTTGGTCTGTTTAATGTGCTCTTCATCATCCAGGAGACCATTCATCTCACGCTGAAAATCATAGATAGCACCTCTGGGAGGACAGATTGCCTTCAAAGAGAAATGCTTTGTTATAACAGGCTTAGGTCTGAAATGGATTCAGGTAACAGCTTGTCCTTCTGGGGTCTCGTTCCAGGCTGCTCATGGGATTTGTCTTCTTAAATTCCAAGTATCTTCCAGGAAATTATTTAACCCTGATGAATGGTGAAACATAAGGGGATTTCTGTATCAAGAAACAGCAAAGTTGAAGACAAAAGTCAGTGGTAGCCAATTCATGATACTATGAAAATTGGGACTATGCACCCAGTTATTCATAATTTGCATCAGTGATATAACCTTCGGGTCCCCTGCCTCACAGGTGAAGCAGTACAATACCAAATTAAGAGTTGATGCAACTTACATGTATTATTTTAACCTCCTAGAAACTTCCCAGTTATTGCCTGGAGATGGAATAATGCAAGAGTTGGAATAGTCCCAGTAGCTTTGATCAGGACTGACATGTGCAGCCATCCTCCTCCTCTGTATGGAGGCAGTTTAGCTGTCTCCGAGGTCTCACCCCCATCTCTTGTCAAGACAGCCTGTCCTCTGTAGACAGAAAAAGCAGTGTGCACATCAGCTCAGTTTGTTTCATGCGTGAGATGCAGAACAGCCCTCCTCAAAGGGCAGGACACCCTCAGCACAGAGATAAGTCACAGAGAGTTTGCGTTAAAACTACTTGATTTGAGGCTTTTGAAAGAGAAAGAATGTGCTACAGATAAACCAGGGATGAAAAGCTTTTTAAGGAACATATACAAAAGGGATTTTTAATTTATATTAGGACTGGAAATTTCCTGGAAAAATGATCAGTATAATTCAAAATTATTACATGATTTTCTACAGAAATCTTTATCAGTGCTTTTCATTCAGAAAATAGTATTTTGAGAGGCTGTGCTACTGTAATCTCTTTGATCCTGAGGGCTTTGAACTGCTCTGTAGTGATATGCCTGAGATCAGGCATTTACTTCTGTGGTGTGTAGAAAATGTGAAATTATTGATTCTTGCAATCCAGCAGAGCAGAAAAAGGTCTGTGCTTTTTATAGCTCAGAAACTGATACAGTTTTCTTCCTTTGCTTTGCTCAGAGCAGCAGGAAATGAAAATTCCTTAAAGATGTTATTCTCCTCACAGTCTGTCTTCCCTCTTATTAGCCTAAGGAAGTCCTTCTCCCTCGCCGAATTACAGCTATCTGCAGTCCTCAGTTTTTAAAACAATAGAGCATGACACCACTAGCCACCACTTTGTGCCTGCAGTGTCACACATGTTTCAAACTGAGAGACGTAGAAAACCGCAACAGAGCTCAGATTATACACATCCCAGCAAGGCTTTAATGAAAACAGACCTTAAATAGCCTCACATTCATCAGAGGGACTCCTCCTGACGCTGTGCGCCCATGACCAGGGAAGGAAGCCATGAGACTTGATTTACTCCTGTGCACTGTAGACAATCTGCAAGTCAGTATCAGCATGGAGAAAATGGCATTTAGCACCAGGAGGTTCTTTCTGAAGTGAGGGGAGCTTTCAGACAAGTGTTTCATTTGCAGGTCCTGCCAGAGGTGCAGCCACCTCCTTAACTGGGGGAACATAAGCACAGAACAGAAACACGATTCATTAATAACACATGCCTTATTGCCTCAGGTTTTGCTCCAAGTTCATCTGCATCCATTCTCCCAGAGCATATTTATAAATGTATGTATGGTGTGAAATTTCATCATTTCACTGCCAGTTACAGAGAAAACCTGAAGTCTAACACTCCCTTATCTATCAAAATAAGCCGGGTTGTGTGTAACTTGTACAGATTTCATAATGTTCACTCCTACGAACAACCAGATATACAAAACCTGTTTTCATCTAATAATTAGCAGGTTCAGATGAGCACGTTTAGGTGATCTTTGCTCTGTTCTGATTTGTGAGTGCTCTGGTAATATGAGTGATATTTAGTCTGTTTATAATATGCAAGAAAGCAGCGAAGTAAAACACAAAATCCTTTCCTTCATTTTCCAAGCACATTCCATAGAAATACATTCAGACACCTGGTACTCAGCTGGTGATAAAAGTGTAAGAAACATTGACAATCTACCAGGGAAAGACTGAATCTCAGGTTTCGGGACATCTTTTTGTTTCTGATGGCCTTATGCACCTTTCCCATTGACAAGGTAACAATTGCTAAAGTTTCCAGTGGATTACTATTTCCTAGTAATTACTACTGAAATAAGTAGAAAGGAGAATTCCTACCGGAATAAGTCTAGGAAGTGACTAATGTACAGTCCAACAGTGTTATGGGAGAATATGAACCAGAACCCTTGGTATGTCCTTTAGGTACACATCACACGTTCTTTGGAAGTGCAGCATTTTTAGAAAAGGTACTGCACAATAAGTAAGGACGTTCAAGCTTATGCTTCAAAACAAACAGACCTGGAAATTCAAGTTCCTTGAAAGAATCTTCTCTAAAGAGCAAGGTCAATATAGAAATCTGGTTTAAATCACAGAAAAATTATATCTGATTACTACTTTGTTACAGGTTAAAGCCGGGCACTTAAAAGGTAAGCAGGAGCATGAGTCTTCTGCTGCCTCAGGACAAGTGGCATTTGCAATGACCAGGAACAGATCTGCTGTTCCAAGAGAAGTGAGGGGTTCAGTGGAGTGAGGTGTGCCTTGTGGGAATAACCATCATGACACGAACCATACTTGAAACATTTCAAATCCATCATCCCTTCCAATATTTTCCTATTTCTGTACTAGTTTTAGATCCCTAAGTGCAACGTAACAACACCTCAAGAGAGATCCTGAAGGAATTCCAATAGCAACATTCAGCTGAGCACAGTCAAGAGAAGCAAAGCAACTACAACTATATGACCCATTACTAAATGACCTGGCTTTATTCCACGCTTTGTAGGTTTGATAAGCTTTAATAGTTTTGAACTATTCAGAAATCCTCCTTCAGTCAAAGGCCTTCAGATGAAATTCCTCAGTGGCACCATGAGATGTTTAGATAGAGATGTCTTGGGATAACTAGTTAGGACATTTTATGTGCTCTTCAATACCACAGCACATGATAGAGATGAACTGCATGGCATCATGAATTAATACCAGCTCTTGTTTTTACAAGCAGGCAGCTAGTACAATCCAGCTCCTTATGCCTTCCTAGTAAACTTCCCTCCAGTAAGAGAGAAGTTTCAGCTGCTGAATGACAAAGATGCCATGATCATAAGAGGACAGATACAGGAAAACGTAGCTAAGCAAGGCCATGCAGCTCCTGAGCGCATCGCTGTGCACCCCTGCCATTGGCCAGGCCATGGCTCTTGATGGAAAGAACTCAACTGTTACACAAAGCATTTCAAAAGAAAAAGGGCATGGGGGATGCTGAGGATATTTGCTGTTCATTTTTAAAGGGTGAAGAACACTCCTTCAACTCATGGTGATCAAATTCTTTAAGGAACTTCCCCAATGGGAATTTCAAACCAGTTTTTCAGTCACTTTAAGCAACATTTTTTTTAAATGGATTTAATTACAATTGATCTAGACTGGGATACACTGCTTACAGAATTCAAGGTGCCAGGCAGGACCCTGCAACTGTGCTTGCTCTTTGTACTCAGGAAGCTCTTCAGGAAGCCAGAAGTCTATGAAGTGAAGATAAACCCTGTCAGCAAGAAAATAAAGTGTCAAAGGAGAGCCTGCATTGGCTCTGTGTGGCTACAACACAACTCTGGGATGCTCTGGTGGGTGGCCAGAGGAACTGCCAGACACAACCTACCCCAAAACTAGTTGTGACAAATACTGCTGCATCACCCCTCTATATCTGAGATGTGATCTCTGTTTCCTTAGAACAAAGTAACATAGCATGGTTGCATTGCAATAAAAATTCTTACTGGTGAAGAACCATAAGGTATGTATATATACAGATATATATCTATGTATATACGTCTACATCTACATATATGAAAAGGTAGTAGAAGTAGTATGGGAACAAATATACACTCAGTGCACAGTGATGCAATTGCAGTTTAAGAAATACATGCTTTTTAGGAATTACCTTCATAATGTTTACAAAGAGTAAGAGAATTGCAGGAAAAGATGAGCCCTACTGTTTCGCTCATCATCTTCCATATGCCTAACACTTGCAGCCAGGGTAAAACACCTCCATGCTTTTCAACTGCCTCAGCAAAACTCCTTACAATGGGTGAGAAACAACACACACCTAATTTTTATTCCCCAGGAAGTTGTTTTGACCAAGATATGTTGATCATACAAGGTGTTGGTAATAAACCTCCCTCACTTCTGAGGTTAATAGGCTGTTTCTAGGTTGCAGTATGTCAATGGCCAGCAATTAGCACCCTTCTCATTCAGCCTTTGTGATTACACTAATTCTTGTGTTAGTGCTGCATTAATTGCAGCTTGTATCATCTTGATTTGGGGTGGTTTAAAGCAGTAGCATGGGGTAAAGACTTCTCTTCCTTCTTTTAGTGTTAGAAAAGTTGTAAAAATCATGGAGAGCCCAGTTCATCTCCTGCCTGCTGCCCTGCTGTAGGCTTTTCCCTCTTCTCCCCACATTGGCCCTCTCTCTGATTAGTGAAGCCTATGAGAGTATTTGCAGCTCTCAAGTTCTCTTATGAAATATGAGCTTAACTTCAAGGTGAGTCAGTTCTGCTGGGTCAGTCTGGTCTTTTCTAGTTCTCTAGCTGAAATAATTTACCTGTGAAAACTCCAGACATCCTTGGGCTGTGTGGCTGCTATGAGGGACAGAAGATCTAGCTGGGATTTGGCAGAACCCCCAGGAGTTTCACGTGTTCGTAAGAACTGTTATGGTTGAGTATGGGGAACCAAAATATGCAATACAGTATTTTCTTTCTAGGCTCTCCCAGTATCAACTTACTTCTGAAACTGTGCTCTTCATAAGTAGGACCACAGCTTTTCATTGAATGTTTGCTAATAACACACTGGTTAGGGGGTGTCTTACGTTGGCACAGTGCTGGGTTGGCATTTCAGACTTGTTGATAAATAAAATGAACAAAAGTAACATTTAAAGGCATCAGTGTCAGGAGTCCTTGAGTATGCCCCTAAACAAGGACATTTTTAATGAGTAGCTGTGAACTGTGGACCTGTGGCTCAGCTGTCCACATGTGTATTTAGCATTATTAACACCACTACCTCTGTAATCACACAACTTCTCTGGGGTGCAGGAGATCTGTTTGCTGGTGGTGGCTCCTGGATGGGTGGATGTGACAGAATAGGACATTAATTATTCTTCCCCAGAGCATGGTTTGAATCATGCACAACAGATAACTTCTGGGCACATGTTTGAATAATGAGCAGAAAACAAAGTATCTCAGTATTGTCCTTTCTGTGCCCTTGAGCAGAGTTGGGTCATTCTGAAAAGTCCCTGCCCATACAGCAGCACTGTCTGAAGAGGTAATTAAAAGATTCTAAAATATTACATATGAAAGAAGAGGTGTATTAAATTTGCACAAGTAATCTTATTCTGGTATTACCCAACCCTTCAGTGTTGTTATTTTATATATATATATGATTTTTAGCATCTTTTCATCTGAACTTACATGTTTTGTAACAGCCTGTCTTTCAGCAAGCTGTTACTGCTTTATTTGAATATTTGCATGACTAAACAGTGGCATTTGTTAAAAAAAAAGAAAAGAAACTCAATAGTGTGTTTTCCCTGTCCTTATAATCTCCTCTCCATCATGCCAAAACTAACCTAGCCTGGAAGCCACCTTCCATATGAGCCCAGCTGAACAGTTGCAGTACATTTCATCCATTTAAATTGTTGAGACAACTAAGCCCTTGGGGAGCCACCTTCTTCGTACTTTCAAATGTGTTTAAACTGAAGGCCGGAGGCAGGTCCATCATCACAGATAACTCTTATTCCACTGTAAATGCTCCATGCATTGGGTATGATGCCAGTGTCTTACTGAGAACACTACAAAACCTCATAGTGTTATTTTGGACACAAGATGAGCTGGAGGCTATGTCAAGTGACAGATAATGAGAAACAAACTCCCTAGTAAATACCTAGCTCTAGAAACAGAAGATTGTGAGTTACTCTGGCTGGGTTTGAAATAAGCTGTATGTAATATTTACACAGATTGGTGCTGTCTCCTGGCAGTGCAATATGCTCTGGGTTTCACTTCTCCCTCTTCCTGGAGTTTGTGTGCAGAGCTCACTGCCTAGCAGTGAGGTAGTCAAGCAGAGGGACTGCTTATCCCTTGCTAATTTTCATAGAATCCCAGACTGGTTTGGGTTGAAGGCACCTTAAAGCTCCTCCAGTTCCAACCCCACTGCCACGGGCAGGGACCCCTTCCACTGGAGCAGCTTGCTCCAAGCCCCTGTGTCCAACCTGGCCTTGAACACTGCCAGGGATGGGGCAGCCACAGCTTCTCTGGGCACCCTGTGCCAGTGCCTCAGCACCCTCACAGGGAAGAGCTTCTGCCTAAGAGCTCAGCTCAGTCTCCCCTCGGGCAGGTTCAAGCCATTCCCCTTGCCCTGTCCCTACAGGCCCTTGTCCAAAGCCCCTCTCCAGGTTTCTTGTTGGCCCCCTTAAGGTATTGGAAGCCTGTTGCAGGATCTCCCCAAAGCCTTCTCTCCTCCACATGGACAAGCCCATTCACACTAAGCTGACATCTCTAGAGACTATTCCCCCTTCCTGCTGCCTGCCTTGCAACACTGAGCTGTTTACCCACTTTGTTAATTATTAGCCAATAGCATTTCTCTGCTCGTTCTATAAACCAGTATGCAAGGGGCAGCTAGGGGAAAGGGAAGGAGAAGGCCAGTGCTGTGTCAAGATAAAACTTCAGGTACCTTCTTATTTTCAGTATCCAGTATGCAAGTTGTTAGTTCATTAATAAAAAAATCAGTCCTTGCACTTTATAAAAAGCTAAATTTTAGCAGTTTACAAAGAGTATTTGTGTATTTCAACCATATCACCAAGCCAGATTTGTATTACCCACTTGTACTGCCATAGCTAAAATGTCATTCACACTTTTCATTTGTTATCAGTGGAGGCTAGTGCAGTGGGGATTTGCTCTGTTAGCAGGCAAAAAGGCAACAAAAAGAATAAATGGTGAACTGCAGCGATGGGTGAGTGCATCGTGGGTGTAAGTACATAATTGGATACAATCAGTAGCCAGGTATAAATTCAGGTCACCAGTCTGAACTAGATCTCCTGGCTTGCAGGGCAGATATGCTCTGGTTTGGAATGATGTCTTCAATTGTCTGTCGTGTTAAGAGACAGTCTTGTTTTAATTTTTCATCTAAGCAGAGAAAAGATTAAAACCCATCAATTCTTTCTCCTTGTCAATTGATTACAGAACCCTCTGAAGGAAAAGCAGGTTTATCTGGTTCAAACGATACCCTGCTTGGCCCTCTAAGGCATCAAGGTTTTGCTTTAACATTAGTCTCTACCCAGAGCGGCCCAGTGCCTGTGGGAAGGAACGTAGAGTGTAGAGTAGGACGCAGGACAGTACTTCGAAAACACTAGCTATTTGCTATTACAAACCAGAAGCAACCATGAGCTGCAGCCATATATCCACTTCAGATACACTCACCTCAACTGTGGATTAATTTAAAGCAAAAGACGCAATTCATACGTAACAATTCAGAGGGCATGCAGTGTGCCACGGTAAGTACATGCACACATCTGCTAAGGGGCAGAGCATCTCCAAGTCCAATGATGCATTGTGAAGCAATTTGGAAAGCCAATGAAATATTTAGATCTTTTACAAATAGCTTCTGCACTGAAGGAGTATCTTGTGCTCTACTGAATTGTTTTAAATTAAATTACATCCTTTACAAGGAGATCCAGGATGAAGAAAAGAGCACAGTTAAAGTGCCTGAGATACGGCTTAAATTTGACTTCTGAAGCAAACCTTGCTTTTTGCAAATACAGCACTTGCACACGCACTCAGTCCTGCAGTGTAATTCATGTTTAGTTCATTGCAAGATGAAAATCAAGCCTAAGTTGGAAGGAAAAAAGCTTCATGAGCTTTTAGCGTAAGTTTTTTAGTGGAACAGAATTACAGTCTCTAAAGCTAAGCAGATGCAAGATCAGATCTGAAAGAAAACTCCATGAAGGTCAACCAGGAGGTGCTTTGAACCCCCGAAAGCCAAACACATCTTATTACAAAGCTACAGAATAGATAATGGAGGATAATTTATTTTTTTATTTTGAGTTTTACATTTAAAAATTAGGGCTATTCATTATTTATACAGAAAAATCTCATTTGTCTTCTGCTTTTCACCAAGTACTTTTCAATTTGAAAGAGTCATTTGCCTGTAATTGAGCCAAATGTTAGTGAATAATTCACTACCTTTTCCCTTCACCCTGCCCTATTCATCAAAGGCAAAAGGTTCAAACTTTCAAATACCAAATCTTTATTCAAACAATTGGTAATAACCGAAGTCCCAAAAGCTGCTTCAGCAGTCAGCTGTGAACAGAGATCCTGGTTGCAAAATGAGAAGTATTAAGTGAAAAACTCAACAACTTGCATATTTCCAAGCTGCAGGCCTTTATCCAGTGTATTAGTGGGAATCTCTGACTAATTTCATTTGATGGACACACAGCTCAATTTGGCATCCTTATAATTAATGTAGGCTACTGCATAAAAATATGGGAGGAATAATTCACAAGAAGCCACATGCTGCAGTTGTTTTAAACCCTTTTTCCTCTTTCTACGAATGATGTCAGATCCTTCTTACATAAACCAGCGTGGCACTGTGGGGGCTCTTGTAATGTGAAGTACTCAGAGCTGTATGCGTTTCAAGTCAAAGCCCATGACTGTAAAAATAAGGCAAGATTGGGCTACACAGAGATTCTTCTAATTTGATTCATTTCCTGCAACTTGTTGCAAACCACTTACATGAGAAAAGTAAGAAAAAATGTTGTTACTGAAATGAGTGAAAATTTGATGATTGCATGAAAACCTGCAATTATGAGACAAAGAGCCCCCTGTGGGGTTGGGTCTGAGTTACCACCGCAGCTACAGAGAACTGTTGGCAATTCCACTGGAGAAAAAGTTAAGAATTGAAATTTCATACTGGAGCAGAGTTCATTTAACAAGTGTTTAGTCTTGTAGGATTACTATTGCTTACAGTGAAACTAAGCTTGGCTCTAACAAGTTCATAAGCTGATCTTCTTGTCGTGTTATCCTCCGATTAGTGTGCTTGTTATGCAGAGAACTGACCTGAGATAGTGAGAACTTACTCAAAAGGAACCAAAACCAATAAGAAAATCAAATGTGTGGAAAGGAGAATATAAATGTTCTCAGGATCTTGAGAAGAAACATTTATAAAGAATATAACAAATGGTGCAATCAAGATGCTAGCTGGTTAAGAGAAACCACATGGAAGATGGATGTTGATGTGCTCGGGGGGATCATAAATGAGTAAGAGCAGACTGATGACATGTAGTAAGGAGCAGATCTCCCCTTGATGAATGGACAGAACAGAGAATATTACCAAATGGCACTGAGCTTGATAATGAAAATCAGAGAGAGGCAAACTACCATCACAGACTCCTACACAGCCCAGCACGCGTTGCATGAACTAGCTTCCAGCTGCTGGCATCTGAAACGAACCCGGCTTTAGATGCATTTAGGTGTTATTAGAGATGGGGTCCTCTCCTGTCATATCTCATGTGAGATGGAATGACCATGGCTTACTGTAAAGCTTAAAGTAAAACCAGAACTTCTATTTTTCCACTACATTGTGGGACTTTTCAATGCTATTTTTTCATATTACAGTACCTTGGTTTGGACTGCTCTGAGAACTGAAAAGAGTTTTTAACTGTGCTGGGGGCTCTTTTTCCCCTTGGCAGTGAGTGATATGTTAGAACAGGGCTGTGTGTAGAGCGGCTCAGATTTTTCATTCTAACATGCTGTACCCTGCATTTGTCAGTGTCTGAATTTCATCAACCATTATGCTTCCAATTTGTCTAGTCCTGTTTCCATGAAGTTCATCACACCCCTCTCTTACTAAGCCTTACACTAAATAAGTTTGTCATCTGAAAATCCTGCTGAGCTTGTTTTTTTTTTGTTCTACCCCTCATTTTTGCCTTTCTGGATAATAAATGAATGTATTAAATACAAACCACAGTTCAGATCCTTGGGACATGCTAATACTAACCTCCTACTGGATTGAAAACTGACAGCCTAATTAATTAAATTGCATTCATAGGCACAACAGTGCTGATGGTGAAAATGGAGATGACTTGTGATTTATTCCTAATCTGAAGAAAACCCCAAACTACACCAACTACGCAAAACTCTGCAAGTACAGGGACCTGCAATCTCCACCGAATGATGGGACTTGTGAAAAACAGGCTACTTAAGGAGAAAACAAAACCAATTGAAAGAAGAGGAAATATCACCTTTGTCCACTTGTCCCACTTGCTGTTTGCAGAATCACTGAGCTATCAAACAGTCCCTTTTAAGCACTTTTATCCCCTATGAAATTGTTAAACGCGTCTTGGCTAGAATAACACTGGAATGTCAAAACTTGTTTAGGTATTTGATCCACAGAGGACAAAGTATAAAATCTATAGCTAATCAAGTAAAAGAGGAATAAAATGTGCTTAACTGTTGACTGCTGTAGCTATAGTCATGTTGGCAGGATGTGCTTCCTTGTCCAAGTCATCCAGATTTTTCTAGCTATTAGAAAATGACTCACATTTCTCTGGCACTTTGATACAGTGTCTGTAGCAGATATTTCTGTAAGCAAAAAACATGTTTGGGGCAAACATTGCCAAGCCACACAAAAAAAGGGCAGTTTCTCAGCGTTCTGGTACTGTGATAAAAACTAATGGATTAAAAGTTAGATGTGTTACCAACAGCAGCAGAATGTCTGGAGTTCTTTCTGAAACTAGTATACTTCAGCATGTAAAATGGTGTGTAATTTATACAGCAGCTTTAGAATGCTCTAATTAGTGTCTTCTGAGTACTAATCCTGTTGTTTAAACTTTGTACCAAAGAAGAGCTAGAAGAATAACACACAAAAATGCTAATGAGTATTCATATGCTTTTGAAATGGACCTTCATTGCTGAACAATTGGAATTCTATTAGCACAAATGTTCACAAAAATATACAGGTGTAATAATGCATTTAAATTCTCAACATTTTCATAACCTGTATTACTGAGTTAACAGACTTTTGCATAGGAAGGCATAAAGTTATTTGGGAAATGTGCCTTGTCTTAGTAAAATTTTGTACATGGGTTCTAGTCAAAGCTGATTCCTTTACTTAGGTTAGAAGAACATTTCATGCAATTCCTGAATTATTACATACTCGCTCACCTGGATTGGCAACTTCAGAAACAAAGATCCCATCTCAAAGATAAATTAGGGGCCTAAACTGAAGTGAAGGCCATTCTAACTGGACTAGACTATACTTTCAGTGGTCATGCCAGAGTAGGGCAATGTTCAGTATGTCCTAATTCTTCTCTATGTATATCCAGCGTGTCAATTTAGATGTTTGTTATTCAGTGGGCCAGACGGTACAGTCAGATTTACTGTACATATCTGAGTACAGGATATTATAGTATGTGCAGTGGCTGCATGCAAGATTTAGAAGTGCCCAGCAAGAGCTAATGGGACTGGCCTGCTTTAAGAAAGCCCTCTTCAGTGTCCAAAATTCACCCAGATCACACTTACAGGCTTGATAGAGGCCACCTGGGAAACCCAAACACATAGTACACATATGTGGGGAACCCAAACATATAGTAGATATGTAGTGGGGAGGTGCTGGGTATGTTAGATAGGGATAATGAATAATAAAAATGTTATTTCTAGCATAATCTCAGATTTCTTTTATGGGTTTTAGTAACATATCTGCAAAATAGGGATAATGGGCATGAAGGCCAAAAGCCAGAATGAAGGCCTGCATGTAACTAGGGTGAGCCAGAGGCAGCACAGACACAGAAGACCAAAGAGTCTGTGTGCATGTAGAGATGCCCACAAGCAGCAAAATTCAGACCTCAGTTTCAAAGGCCATGGAGTTTAGCTGGCTGTGCCATACTGCTGGCCTGGGCCCAGTTTCACTCCTGCAATCTGTGGCTGTGTTGCCAGGACTAGACCTGGATTTGCTAAGAATCTATTTTTAAAACCCAAGAAACCTGTCTCTGTCCAGTGCCTCACTGCCCGCAGCACACTTGTCTCAGTGATAATACTGTATGTATGTTTTCTTTACAAATCTGCAGTTGCAAATTCACATTGAAGCCAACATTTTGCTTCAGCAATGATAGCTGGTTTTAAAATGTTGAATATTCCATTCCCCAAGGTAATCTGATCGATGGCTGACCAGGGGAAGTGACCCTGAAAGGAATTAAGGAGACGAAATAGAAATCAGTTCACTTCAGTGCAATGTGGATGTGACTTGTTATATTCTGTTGTATATTACAGCACCTCCTGCTTTTCTACTAACGTTTTACTGCCTCCTAAGGAAGGACTCATTATACACATAACAGAAGTTGTGCTAGGTTTCCTCAAGGTCAGACAGAGGTGCCGAGTTTGTTGTGCTTATGTATATATTAGAATGAAAAAAAGTGAAATAGATTTTGAATGAAATTTGCAATTTTATAGTTGAAATATATCCTATATTCTGCCAGTATATATGGAGAAACACAGAGGAAGTCTGACAATCCTGCTGTGTAGGTAGAGAAACCCTCTAGATTGTTGTTGCCCATGCTGAGATAAGTGAGGTCAGAAGACTACTGCAAGAAGAAAATGGGAGAAGTAGAAAAGATGATGGAATTTCATAAATTATCCCATGTTAAAAGCATAGAAAATAAACCAAGTCAGAACGGTGTTAACATTTAAAGAGACTCAGAATTTTTGTACTTCTTTGCCCACTTAAAATCTGAGGTGTACGTTCCATAATTTTCAACCGAGTAACCTTGAAAAGATCACAATTCACTTAGCACTAGTAACTCAGGCATTAAACATATGCACATGCCTATTTATAAATTGTACTGATTATTTTCCAGATTTAAGACTACTGTGTTTTCTTAAATGCCCCTGATGTATTTGAAGCAGAAACAAAGGTTGGGATTTCTCTGTGTGTGACTCGTCTGGTGCATTCTTATCACTCCTACATTCATTCAGTTTTGTGTGAATAGCTCATCAGTGATTTCTAGCTGTGAATAAAGGCACAGGGCAGAAGCACTGTTACGTAACAGTTTGAACTGACAGCTATAAATAACCTCCTCTAATAACCATAAATTTACATTAGAAAGGTAGATCAACTCTGAAGTGAAAAACGTTTATTTTTATCTGATACTACTGTTTAATAATCTCAGTGTTATCAGACTCATCCTGAATAAGTTAGTAGGGTCCTGGGGTTTTATATTATCTGGCAAAGTCTTGCATATCAAACAGATTTATACGATAGGAACAGATTTAAAAAGAGCTACATTTCTCTTTGGGACTCCATCTTACTTACCTGGTCCACATTCAAACATGCCTAGTGACATCCCTGGCAGATTGGATTATGGATGGCAGGTTCAGTCCTTATTTTACAAGTGCTCCTCTCTGAATACTCTGGAGGAAATCAACCTTGGTGGAATTTTAAATTTTCCTTCCTTATTACCATTAACTGGCTGCCTTAATTTTGGAAATTTACTGGATTCATGCCTGCCTTTGGCCAAGCATCTTCTCTTGGAAGGAAAATACTGGCAGGCATAACCAAAGCTACGCCAGTATTATAGCTGCTGTCAATCCATCATTAGCTCTGTGTGGAATGGTTGTAAGGCTGAGAGGATGTTCTCATAAAACCTTCAATGGGCATATGAAGATACAGAAGATCTAATACAGTAAATTGAACATGGTAACTCTACTAGTAGAGAAAGTGATAAAGAAATAATTGAAAGAGTAGTGTTGGTTTATGTACTCTGTAAGTCTAAGACACCTATTTAAAAGTAATGAAGTATAATGTATAATGCCTCCTCACAATTCCATCTCTACCAGGCAGGAGCAGCTGAACAGAGGCATAATGCAGAGGCAGGAGGATACTGTCCCACCCACTGCTGGTGGCAGGACCAATGCAAGTCAAGCTTAGCAGCTGTGTTCATCTGTATATATGTATGTAAGATCTTCCACTTCAGTTTGAAATGATGAGCGGTTATAACCACAGCTCAACTAAATAATCTAATAGTACTAATAGCCTTTTGCTATTACTAAGGGACACCAGTTGTAATCTTGTTCCTCTGATGACTGTTTTTTAAGTACCTTTTCATATATTGGACTACCTTAAGTACTACTTTGACTGGTGTTTCTTTAGTGGAGATGTTTTGCAAGGCTTTTCAGCTATGAGGATGGAACCAAATAGCCAAGGAAGCAGGAGAAAAGCAGAGTAGTGAAAGCCATAGAGCTGCTTGGCCAGGAAATACACATAAAGCACTGTACTTTGCGTCTGTCTCACCCATCGCTGCTCTCAAAGCGAGCAGCTGAAGTGGTGCAAGATGCAGCCTGAGAAGGAGGAAGCAAACAGCCCATCTTTCCAGTGATTTTTGCAGGACACTATTTTATTCTTCACCTTAAACACAGATACTGCCAGACAAAAAAATGACCCATCACTGTTATTCTCACTTCAAGTTACTATTCCCAGACTACTGTCTTTCACCAAGTCTATTAAGCTGCCCTACTCAACCTTGTGTAGGCAACTCTTCTCAACCAGAGCTTCATCCCTAGAGGAACAGTCTTTGACAGCCACTCTTTAGCCTTTAAAACAAAAATAATTTCAGATGTTCAAGAGCTTGATGGGGCAGAGTATTTTTCATCAATTTACGGTGTGAGCTCTGAGCCTTCCAGTTTAATGACAGTGTTCTTACAATTAGGTTGTACCCAGCGCATTTAGCTGCTGGTACTACACAGAGACAACCTTATACATACATATATATATATGTATATATATATATAATGAATACAGACATATCTGCAAGGGTTATAGTTGGAACTCTTTTGAGTTAGCTTGACCTGGTAAACTTTAAAATAATCTTCCACACCTCCCTGCCTTGTTTTGCTTGAATTTCACCTTGTGAGGTGAAATTATTCAGAGTTTTCTGGTTTTGGGGCTTGGTTTGTTGCTTGGTTTTGTGTAGAGGAGTATTTTTAAAGATTTTAAATTAATCAGACTTTTTAAAATACAAAATGCCTGGAAACAGTCAGGTGTTCCTTGGCCAGATGGTTTTGAAGAAACCTATTTTTTTTTTTCTGAATGAACTCTAGAACCTGAGTTCAAAATGTATCAGACCCGCGCCTCAATCTGGTAAAGCATGTATGCACAACCCTAAGATTAGACACATGCTTAGTACTCATATCAAGCTGGTTTAGCCTTCCTGAATGTGATGAGCTCTGCAATTCCTTGTACTGCCAAAGGACAAAGGCATGCATCCTGTATACCCTTAAGATCTGAGGGCTGGTGAGGTGTTGAGGCAATTCAAGGGGAAAACAATCAAATAGGCACCATCATCACTGTGCCAATCAAAAGTTTTCTTTTTCTGAACTAGGGTTTAAAATTATTTCACTGCAAACAGAAGATCACCTCATAATCTACTGATAGAGGTTGGTTTTAGCTTTATAAAAAATAC